TCTTAGTCAGATTATTATGATGACCGGTCCCCTCCCCGCCAATATCTCGGTGAACTACGCGTATAAGGGGTAACTCCTGTCAACGATCGACGAAAGACTATAAGAGGCCGCTTGTCTTTGTCCGCCATCCTCTCCGACCACCTCGGGCTGTACGATGCTAATAGAAAACCTGCCAGTGGAGCTCGTCCTCATCCTTCTTCGTGGCTCGTCCATTGCCGATATCCTTAGCCTTACGCGGGTGAGTGGATTCCAGTACTTTTCCCCACCAACCAACACACACCGTCAGACGTCGAGTTACTTCCGGTGCATTTCGTTGGCGAATCGGCGGCTCTGGATCGACGCATTTGATTCTTATAAGATTCGACTCCCGCTAGGCGAGACGCTCAAAACCACCGATTTGTCTCTCCTTCCTCGCAATGCGGCGCGCAGCGTCTCAATCGCCCGCAAATGGCGATATTCTGGAGTGGAGCAACTCATCTCTCCCATCAGAACAGACGAAACAACCCGCCTCTATGATCTTTCCTCCTGGGCGTTCTGGGCGCCGCTGAAATATTCGCAGCGATCGTCCCTGGGCCACGCTCCACCGGTGTTCATGAATGTTCTCCCCGGTGGACGCGCGTTTCTCTTTGGCTCCATCGGCCATCTTGGGGTATACGATCTCCGCGGGCAGTACGGACAGGAGCTGGATGTTCCGTTCTCTGCGCGTTTTGATCCACATCCCGGAGTTAGCACTACTACGGTCGACTGGGACAGTGTCGATAACGGCGCGCATATTACCGTTGTCGTGCTCTCCAAGACATTTAATGATCACCGTGACGTGGAGAGGTATGTACTATCTTATTTTGCTCCCTGTTCCAGTGCTGAACGATTATCATTAGTAAATTAAGCGTGTTCACTGTTGATTATACGCGCACGGCGAAAGAACCGTCCATTCTTCGAACCCATGTCTTCACACTACCGATCAGCGCTACGGTGGTCTCCATAAAGGGGGCGCTCATCCTCGTTCGCAGCAGCAACGCCTTTCTCCTCGTCAATCTCGAAGCCAAACAACGCGGGTGCTGGCTGCTTCGCGAGACCGTGCGTACCCTTTCTATATTTGTCCTTCTGTCGTTCCTGAACGTCGCCCAGGAGTCCGAAATCGCCTCCACTTACATTGATCCCGCACAAAACAGCATCATTCTCGTCCTCAATTCTGACAAGGACAACACACGCAGCCTGCAGATTTTCGATGTTCCGTCCGTCATGGAATCTTTCAACGACGCACCCCATTGGGCTGGCGATCTCCTGACTTCCCGGACCGTCACCGAGCTCGCCCGCCCGGCACCGAAGTCGCATCCGACGGTCCAATTCTTTCATTCAGATAGCGCGACGTTCCGCGAATCGACGCTCGCCGACGACGGGAAACTCCTTCTTTCCTCCACTTTCGCCGAGGGGCCACACAGTCCGGACGTGTCACCCACCCAACCCACGGTGAAGCAGACGGCCTGCGCGCCCTCCAACGTCGCCGTGTTGCGGTCCGCGCACCGCCTCAAGATGCTCGTTGCGGTTAGCAAGGGCGAGCTGGCGATCCTTCCCTCTACCCAGTCGGATGCTATTCTGAGGCTGGCATTCCCCGCCGAGCGCATGCCGGGCTTGGGCCGCGCGCTCGCGTTCGACGATGTGTACGGGATTATGCTTGTGTTCGCGCGAGGCCGCCTGTTTGTTGTGCAGTATTAAGCCCGAGGTACGCTCAGGAGGCTACTAGAAAAGCGTTAGGCTACTAGACGAGCGTTTATCGGGTCCAGGGCGGATTTGTTTAATTGATTGTTCCCCGTTCAGAGACGGCCTGGGAGGGAACCGAAGATCGAGCAGGATCGAATATCGGGGACTTGAAGCTGTGTCCAGGCGGCGTGCAGACGTGTGATGGAGGCATTACGTCGCACTACTTTCGCGCGAACCCGATCGAGCTTCTGACCAACCCAAAGCCTCCCAATTTTCTATCTGTGGGTTGATGCCCGCCGCGTTACTTTAGCCCCACTTCCAACGTCGACGTGGGCCTGGAATGAATCAGGTTTACGTCTGTGCACTTATTCGTCCACAAGCTGACTCCCACGACGTTGAGTCACCCATCTGTGATGAACAAGATCATCAGTCCTGTCGTTTCCCATATATACTGACTGTGGACGTTCTCCGTCTGGTCTCCACTTCTTCGGCCTCTTCGTTCGGCTGTTGGAATTTACATCTTTTTTTCTTTCCAAAACATGCTGTTTTGGAACGTCTTTCTTTGGTCAGTCAAAGTAGGCCGGCTTGGTATTGTGCCAACATCCTTACCCTAATATCTTGACAGTTCCCTGACCCTGGTGGTCCCTTCGACATTCGCTTTAACGCTTAGCGTGGCACCTCGAGTAGACGCTCCTGGCCCATTGGTCATCCACACTTTGAACCAAGCAAGCGACCCCGGCGGCGACCGCTTCTATTCACTCTTCAACACTCTTAACACCTCGCAGCAATCATATCAGCTTTCCTCCGGACCTGACAATACCGCAACGATCTCTTTTACGATTCCGCCGTTATTTAATAGGAGGATCAGCGATCACCTTGTTTACGGCCATTCGTTTACACCCCTCTAACAGCGGTGGCTGGGTCGTTAAAGCCCAATCTTCGGGCTTCGACTGAGGACCCCCCAATTTCATCGGCACGGCTAACGTGTTCTCTATCGTTCCGGCATCTCCGAACATGTACGCTTTTCACCATCATGATCCGTGCTTCGCTGAAGGAAGTAGCTCGGCTCCTAAGGTTGCGCTATGTGTCGGGTTCTGTAATTGCCGGAAGCGTATTTGGGGCTCTGGCGATTGTCTTCACGCTTGTGCGACTATGTTCTTTGTCCAGCGGCGACGACACATCCATTCGTAATTTACAGGGTTAATCGAGGATCGAAGCAGGCCAGGAATCACCTCACAGGGGGATGAGGAGGGCAAACCCATGGATATTAATGAGGGACTGCGACAGAGCGACGATAATCGAGGAATCCGTGGAGGCAGACGTGCGATCGAGAAACAAAAGCAAGGCCGTGCCCGGAATCGAACCGGGGTCGCCAGAAATTCCGTTACGTAATCAGAATCTGAAGTGATAACCGCTACACTACACAGCCTATGTAGAAGGGTGTGCTGTAGGGGACTTCACTCGGTCCTAGACTGGTAACCGATCTCTACGAAGACAATCGTTCGCGAATCCGACTCTTGCTGCTATCGGTTCCTCTTGGCGTGCGGTTATAAGTTTAATTCTTGTGCTCGCTCAAAGCTCTCAGAACTTTCAACGAAGGGCGGAGAATATGTTGCCAACGTTCCTCCGTCGCTGAAGGAAATAAATAGGCTGGAAGTAGCTCAAAGGCAGCTGCCTGGTGAGACTTTTGACTGTTCTCGCCTTGAAACATTTCAGTGCACGCTGAGAAAAATCAGAGGCATTGCTCATTCAAAAAACAGTGATTCTTACTCCTCACATTTTGCCTCTTTGCCCGATAATGTGGATGTCTAGCGCACGTTGAGTTGTCTAGCATCACGGTGTCACGCAAGTACCGGAGTGACTTCCTCCATTTGGGGCATAAACGATAGGCGGGTGGTGGTTCTGGGGTCCGGATGGGAGGTTTTAGGGAGTTAATTCCGAGGGTTTGTTTTCGGCTACCCCTTATCTACGCTTCAAAGTTCCCCAAGATTTTTTTCGGACGGCATTATGTTATCTCCTTACCTCGCAGTTTCCCAAAGCCAAAGACGATGCAAACCTTGATGATTTGTTGATGATGGTAGCTTACTAACACGACTTTGGCTCTTTAGGAATGTGGTCATGGGGATCCTCAGCGATACTTATAGGACCACCACCGATGAATAGCCGAACCAATTATCATATTTATTCTGCCCTCGTTCTGTCCCCGGATCACTCTCAAATTACAACGTTGATTCATCGACATCGGAATTTCCCCGGTTACTACTAGTGTACAAAGTTTATGTAGGTTATTTCAGCCTCGGAAGCTGAACCTTGCCTGAACCCAGGGCAGCTTGCATACGAATGCAGCGAAGGGAAAAAAGTAAGACCTGGCTGCGGCTTCGTCCCGTCACCCGCGACGGCCGCTTCACTGCCCGTCCCGTTGCGTGTAGAACTCTCAAGACCTCGCGACGACGTGAGAGCGAGACGGTCAGTTCCGCTCGACACCCGTCGTAACGATGGTCGTCTCCGTGCCGAAAAGCCCTATGAATAAACCGCTGCGGCTGCGCGATCGGCTTTATCATGTGCGGCACTTGTCCAACATTTTCTTTCTCTCTCCATACTTGGTTGGTTTTGGTAGGTGCACGCCCTTGGCACATTGAGCGGGAACCAAGCTAAACACTCCACGCCCCCGTGTTCTTATTTCTTGCAGTGCCGGAAGTCAGAACTCATCCACCTGGTGAGTTTGTGAGTTTCTTGAAGTTGCTGCTTAACCTCGGTAGAAGAGATACAGAGCTCAAAGCAAGATGCCCGCGTTCCCCATAAACCCGGGTTCTAAAAATATGCAGGTGCGAAGTTTCCGGTCGCTGAATCTTAATGTTGCAGCGACTCAAGTCGATCAAATTCGACTTAACATAAATAGTACCTAACTGAAGAGTCCTATTCTAATGATTATATATGATGTATGTAGGGTCATAGTGGGTGCATAACATGTCTCAAGGGTTCCCGATATTACTGTGTCATTCGTGAGAAATACTGGATTTATTGATCAACTTGAGTCAAAGTCGAGTCAACCCGAGTCGATCAATAAATCAATATTTCTCCATAACCAATGATTCAATTACCAAGAATTTTGGATATATTATGGACTTATAATAGCCCTTTTCATTGCCTATAAGATTTTTGCCTTTTGGGCAGATGTGATGTGGCTATAGACAAAAGTTTATTTTTATCGACTCGCGGCAACGCTATCGATGGTCAGAGGGACTGTCGGATGATACTCGAGCCAGCAGATGGGACAAAAAAGAAAAAAAAAAAAGCAATGGCATCACCGTGGCTTGAACACGGGACCTTCAGATTGTCGAATCTCCAAGGAAGAAGTACAACTTCAGTCTGCTGCTCTCCCAACTGAGCTATGACGCCGATGCAAAGATTCGCCATCGTATGTACGTGACCCCGGGATGGCGGAAGCAACATCACCTAGTTTGGCCAAGTCGACTCGAGAGCGCGAAGCGAACCTCACGACAGAGGCGAGATGCGTTGGGTGAACGAAATGGGGAAGCGGATACGTGAATGGAAGATGTGCACGCGCTGGGACCCGAGAGTACAGTTTCATATAACGCCTCAATGTGGAGGGCTCGCAATTTACGAGAGGGAAGCTGTTGTGTACTGCGAGTCCGTAGCGCAGAATCGGAATTCCGGCCGCTGAGGACGTCCACGACCTATCGACGACTAACTTTAGTCGATACTATCCTTGGGCAGAGTGCGGCACAAACAGCGTTGTCTAAACAATTCCAGATTCTGTGCCGAAGTTATGATATAAGTACTCGGAGTGACATGGGATGATCAACATGAGATTCGTCTTGGTGAAGGCATTCGTTTTTCGTGAAGAGCGCATTGCGATCTGGACGATAGATCGCTTGTCTTCGAATTCGCAGGGAAATTTCGCGGCTAGTGGATTAATTCAAGGACTACAACGGGAGTACAACCATGGTGTTTCAGTTCTTGAAGCTCTCATCTTGACGCCGTGAAGGAGGATCTCAGTTAGACCGTTAGATGGTTGCACCTGTACGTCGAAACTTTTGCAGCTCTCGACGTTGTCTGAGCGGCATTGCGAGAAAGACAGGTGACGTTCAGCGTGGTCTTCCTCTGAAATCGCCAAGACTATAGCGGTAGACACAGTGAGCTTGAGACTTGAGTAGTGGCCCGGCGATGTGAAGTTTTGAGAAGTCTGTGCACGGAGTTCCAGAAAATTGGGAGGACATCGTAGGTTTCCGCAGCTCGGGTTTGCAATTCCTATAGAGCTTGAACAGGTTTTTTGATCTCGAGGATAGACAATCGGGAGAGTTACTTGATGAGTGTTCCCCTGTGCAATTTCCTCTTTCCACCAACTCTTCACGATGTCGCTGTTCCGTAAAGGCCTTCAGTGGCCAGCACTGGTGCTCCTCGGGACGTATGCAACAGCCAAAGAACGACACTGGAACCCGGAACTGAGCGCCTGAATCGGACTCCAGCCGCGCGAAGAGTGGCATCGCGGTGCGTAGATGTGTGGTGTCTTAGGACCGCGGTGCTGACTGTGGTTGCGCAGATATTCGCAACCGGAGGGATGGACCGCCTCGAGCTCCAACTTCAGCCAAAAGCTCGGGTCTTCATGAATACTAGCCCAGAGGTCATCAAAGACTCACATGACATTAGGACACGCCAAAATTTTAGAGACCAGTGTGGATCGGCTTTACCTCCACGGATCGAGTGATCGGCGGATGACATGGATGGCTTTCCCACGGATTTGGTGGATCGTGGTTTGAACCGTGGTTAACGCACGTGGGCGGGTATTATATTCCTGTTGGTCCTGACACTACGCGAATATCCTTGGACCACTCACAAGCGCCTATCATGCCTTTCTGAACACGACATACAAGTTTTGAACGTCGCCCAGTCCCAGTACATTCAATTCGACTGTCGTTCCTCGGATTATACTGATTGTTTCATTAGGTGCTGGCAGTGGTGAAGACTCTCAATCCGCCTCGTTACGGGCGTTGACGGTTGAACCAGATGCTGGCGGTTGAGCGCCAGCCCCACGCACAAGCTCCTATTAGTCCATTACCTTTGTACTGTCAAGTGAATATATATGCGATTTTGATTCTATGTTGGAGTGAACTGTACGGGTTTATTGGGAGAGTTTCTTGCCATACATCGGTGATCTTTGCAAAGAAATGGCAAGGAATTCACCCTAAAACATGGTGAACGGCAACTGTGAAAGCACCATTTTGTACGTGAACTTTTTTACCCCATTCTTTGCGTGAAGTTCTCTTTCTGATCGTGACATTCACTTGTTTTACAGGTGAAAGTTGCGGTGTATCTGGGTTAAAAATGCCTGTGAAATTCGCTCGGTCCGTAGTCCACAGGGCGTCAACAAACGAACTCGGCATAAGTTGTGCCGAAGGAGCACCATCACGGCCAAATCTAGTCTCTTATAAACTGATGCTATAACATTAAACCTCGTACCTTGGTTTGTTATAATGTCGAGTTTCTTCAATTCCAGGACCTGGAGAAGCTTGGAATTATATCAAGAGGTAAGGGGAAATCGTACGATGTTGGCAGCAAGGCCCTTCGTCGGTGTAATAATGATTTCTTGTGGGAGCGCACGAGTTGGAAGATTCGGATACAGGTGGGGATTCCGTGCCATTTCGCGGAGTATGAGAATCGGAACTGAGAATAGCGCAGACTTGCCGCCACCGGTGGCCATACAGCAAAGGATATCCTCTCCATCCAGGACGCGCGCGACCAGATTATGCTGGGAAGGATAGAGGCCGTTTTTCCACTGAGGGATCAGCTTCTTGACAATTTTGGTGATGGTCCGATGTCCCTTGGGGTCGCTCCAGTGATAACTAGGTGCCATGGGCAGTGGTTGTGGGTGAGGGAGGCCAGGAAAGCCGGAGAGCAATGGCGGCGCGCACAGAAAGGTCGTGGGAACAGATTCAAACTCCGACGATTATATAATAACGGCGCGACCTATACACGATCGCGCGGTTAACTACAGACTAGGCCAAATCACTGCCGTACATTTCCACTCGGTTCGAAAAATGGGCCTGCCCGAATCAATTATGACGCTAGATGATACTGGAGTAGACGAGAAGGCCTTTGGTACTCTTTGGATTGCGAACGACTCGGAACGAGTAGTAGCCCTGTAAAACGCATAAGTGCACCAGGCTCAGCTTCTCCCGAACCGCTGCACCGACTATAGTACGACAAGGTCTTGACCGCTTAGACCGCGTACCCTGAGTCGCGACACAGCTCCAGCCAACTGCCGCCCGCGATCCTCCAGTGCCCGGGACCGTCAAGGCGCACCTACTGCCGTACCCGAGCCTCGAGTTCTGGTTGACGCCCCCGGAGACAACGCTGCAGGACTGCATCGCCGCTAGGAGAGCCTCTGCCTCGTGCTCGTCATCACCGGATTCCAGACGCTCGCAGGGCCATCGGTATGCGTTAACGTTTCCTCCCTCTTTCCTAGCACACCCCCGTCCCTCCTCTATATCCCTCCCCGTCCAAATCCCTTCCCCCTCCCTCGGCGCCCGCTTCTTCCGCCCGCCCCTCACCGCCTTCATCTCGATCCCTCGCTCTCCCTTTCTCCAAAAGTCTTTATCTTGTCACTCTGTACACTTTTCCTTTTACCCGCTCCTCAGCTTCGTCTTCCTGCTCTGTCTCGCCGCCTCTTTCGTCTCTTCCTTCCCTCCTCCCTCCTCCCCCCCTCTCCCCCCCTCCTTGTCTCTTTCTTCGTCATCCCGTTCCCGTCACTAACACCTCACCAGCAGGGCTCGAGCACTGCACCGCGAAGACGAGGTGGTAGGGTGCGAAGTGGGAGGGGCCGCTTGCGCCCGTCGTCGATGGAGCCGGGTGGGGATGTGTGTACCGTGAACTAGTGCAGCGCGACGCGGAGAGAGAGGTGGAGGGCATCGGAGGCACAACCTGGATGGCTGGCGCGTATATGACGCGTCGATAGTCCCAGCGTGTCGCCGAGGGGTCTGTGGGGTGGAGCTGTGCGACCGCGGCGGAAGGGGTCGACGTTGCGTAGTGCGCAGGGGATGAAGTGCAGGCCCCTGCGCTGTTGATCCGCGAGGCGGTGGCGGTCTACGAGGTGCGGCTCCATACTAGATGCGCCACTGGGCCTGGGCGCGGCGCGGCAGGTCCCGGGGTCCCTGGATGAGGCGGAGAGCGACCGGAAGGGTGACCTACCGGCTTGGATGAAATGCTGAGTGACGGCGCGCTCGTCAGGATTCGCTCAGCCCCACGCTGACAGACGCTGGCGCCGACGTGGGTGCGCCGCGGACGACAACGTGGAGCGCGGAAGAGCAAAGCGCCGGTCCACTTCCACCTGAAGCGCATAGACGCAACCGAGTTATTTTTCCCGGCGGGGAAACGTTTGAGAATGTGCCCACTGTCGTCCGGGCAGGCTGTCGGGGACGCCGCCTATGTCAGGTACCAAGTGTTCATTACTTGCCCATGCATGCACCTCTCCAAATTATCCCCTGGTTCGTTAGCATGGGCTTTCTGAAGCGATGCCGGGTACGGTCGTCTTGGATTTACCTGCATATTTCCCGGCGCTAAAATCGACTCTTGATCAATACAGGAAATATTGTTCACAAGTCTGGCTGGCTTAGGTTGCATCTCTCCGCTCTCCCTCGGAGGAATATTCTGAGTTCTGCGCTTATAACTGATTCATTTGTCGAGCCTTACACGTACAGTAATTGATATGCCGGTCTCGCACGTATGAGATTACTTGAGGGTCGAGTTTGGCATCATCAAATTATCAACTCAAACGCAGTTGTAATCTCAAGGCACTTGGAAGCAAGCACAAAAAATTGAATTCAGAATCCGTACACTCGGTGCTGCATTTACATCCAGACAGAAGAAAGGGTGTTGAACTGGCATAATATTTCTGTCAGATTTTATGAACAAAAAAAAATGATGTCAGCACATACCGATCTGGTCTTAGCGTGGGTCCCGAAAATTCCGAAGCCTGGTAAGTAAATAGGTAGATATAATGGGAGTGCACCGGTATCTGCACCATTCACCCCAGAATTAACCGCCGGAGACAGAGAATCTGTTAATTCTACTCCATTCACGTTGGCACCTTTCTGAACAAGGAGTTCAACAACTACTTTATGACCGGAATATGAGGCTGCCTGCAATGCACTTCCATAACATCCTCCTTGTGCATTTAAATTGGCACCCTCTGCCAAGAGCAGCCGGACCACTGATTCATGTCCAGCAAATGAGGCTGCCTGGAGTGTATTTCCATATTGTCCGGCCAGTGCATTCACATTGGCACCCTTCTCAAGGAGGAGCTGAACCATCAACTCATGACCTCTATATGAGGCGGCTTGCAATGAATTTCCAAATGATCCTCCCGATGCATTGACATC